AAGCACTTCCAGCAATTTTCATTTTCCTTTTTTGACAACTTTATTAATCTGATAGGTGTGAGGTAGTACCACTAAGTTGTGCTAATTTGCATTTCTCTAATCATTACTAGGTGGTATAATGTGAATAAAGTGCTAGAGCTTAGAGTCAGGAAGACATCTTCATGAATTCAAATCTGGTCTCAGACACTTACTAGCTGTGTGACCCTGGGCAAGTCATTTAACCCCGTTTGCTTTAGTTCCTCATTTGTAAAATGATCTGGAAAAGGAAATGGTAAACCACTCAAGTATCTTTGGCAAGAAAACCCCAAAATGAGGTCAACGAAGAGTTGAGCATGACTAAATAACAATAGTTATTACTAATTTTTTTTCATTTGGCTACTGATAGCTTAGATTTCCTCTTCTGAAAACTGCTTGTTCATGTCCTTGACCATTTATCAATGGAGAATGACTTATTCTTTTTTTTATTAATTTATTCATTTTTAGTTTTCAACAATCACTTCCATAAGCTTTTGAGTTTTAAATTTTTCTCCCCCTCCCTGATCGCCTCCCTTCCCAAGATAGTGTGCAATCTAATGTAGGCTCTACATGTACATTCTATTAAATATATTTGCACATTAGTCATGTTGTAAAGAAGAATCAGAACCAATAGGAGGAACCAAAAGAAAGAGGTTGTTATCTACTTCTGTTTTATGGGAGAGTTCATCCCATTCACACAGTTATGATTACTATCTGTGTCTTTCTCTCCATCTTATTTCCCCCCCATTTATGCTTTTCCTTCTCCTTTCTCCCTTTCCCTCCTCACTAGTGCTTTGCTTTTGACCACCGCCCCCGTCCTCCCTTCTATTAATCCCCTCCCTTTTCTTCCCCTTTTCCCTCCTACTGCCTGTGGGGCAAGTCAGATTTCTATACCTGACTGATTATGTTATTCCCTCCTTGAGCCAAATCATGAAAGTTTCAAACAGTGTTCATCTCCCTCCCTTCTTTCCCTCTACCTGAAATAGGTTTTTGTGCTTTTTCCTGTAATGTAATTTACCCTTTCTGCCTCCTCCTTTCCTTTCCTTCCAGTACAATCCCTTAATTAGATCCACTTAATCCACTTACTGAGATCCATTTAACCCACTTAGATTTTTTTATCATTACATCAAAATCAACTTATACCCACCCCCCACCCCATCTATGTATGCCCCTTTTAAATGGTGTAATGACAATACAGTTCTCAAGAGTTACAAGTGTTATCTTCTCTTGAAGGGATGTAAACAGTTTGCCCTTTTTAATAACATGTTTTTTTCTATCCTGTTTACCTTTTCATATCTCTCTTGAGTCTTGTATTTGAAGATCAAATTTTCTGTTGAGCTCTGGTTTTTTCATCAGGAAGGTTTGGAAATCCCCTATTTCATTGAACAGCCATCTCCTCCCCTGAAAGATTATGCTCATTTTCACTAGGTAGTTGATCCTTGGTTGTAATCCAAGCTCCTTTGCCTTATGGAATATCGTATTCCATGCCCTACAATCTTTTAATGTAGAACCTGCAGGGTCCTGTGTAATCCTGACTCTAGTTTCATGATATAAATTGTTTCTTTTTGACTGCTTGCAGAATTTTCTCTTTGACCTGGTAATTTTGGAATTTGGCTACTGTATTCCTTAGCGTTTTCAATTTAGGATCTCTTTCAGGAGGTGATCGGTGGATTCTTTCTATGGCTATTTTACCCTCTAGTTCTAGGACCTCAGGGCAATTTTCCTTGATGATTTCCTGAAAGATACTGTTCAGGCTCTTTTCTTCATAATGGTTTTCAGGTAGACCACTAATTTTTAAATTGTGTCCCCTGGATCTATTTTCCAGGTCAGTTATTTTACCAATGAGGTATTTTATGTTTTCATCTATTTTTTCCTTCTTTGTTTCTGTTTGACTGATTCTCACTCTCTCAGTCATTAGCTTCTACTTGCCCAGTTCTAATTTTTAACAAATTGTTTTCTATTAGATTTTGTGCTTCCTTTTCCATTTGGCCCATTTTACTTTTTAAGTTCTCCTCAGTGAGTTTTTGTGCCTCCTTTTCCATTTGGACAATTCTGCTGTTTAAGGAGTTGTTTTCTTCACTGTACTTTTTTTCCAGTTGGCCAATTGTAGTTTTAGGGACTTGTTTTCTTCAGTGTACTTTTTTCCAGTTGGCCAATTGTATTTTTTAAGGACTTGTTTTCTACAGTTAATTTTTGTCCTTCCTTTTGCAAGCTATTGACTCCATCTTGCATACTTCTCATTTCTTTTCCCTGTTTTTCTTCTACCTCTCTTATTTGACTTTTAAAATCCTTCTTGAGCTCTTCCAAGATAGCTTTGGTGCTTCAGACCAGTTCATATTCTCTTTTGAGGTTTTGGATGTGGGTATGTTGACAATGTTGTCCTTTTCTGAATTTCTGCCTTGATCTTCCCTGTCCCCATAATAAGAATCTATGGTCATTGTACATTTCTTTTTGCTCATGGTGTTTGCTGATTTCCTGACTTTTAAAAAAATTGAGTTCTCCTGCTGGAGAGCAGGGGGCACTGACCCAAGCTTCTTGTGCTAGGAGCAAGGGGCCTGGTCACTGGCTTTGTGTGCTGGGGTCTCAGGTGCAGGTAGTTGGAGGCTGGGAGGTTCTGGCAGCTTAACTAGTGTTGGGCTGGAATCAGCAATACTGGAACTCTAGGGGTGCGATGGGGAGTTTGGCCCCTGGAGGATGCCTGCTCACCGGGGCCTTGTGCTCCTTTCTTCGGCTCCTGCTCACCCAGGCCTTGCAGAGGAATGTTTTGCTGCTGCGGGATGTCTCTCAGCCCGGAGTTTTACCTCTTGAAGTTGTGCTTCCCAGAATTTTGCCGAGGCACCAGGACACTTGGCTGCCGGAGAATGCTGTGGCATGTGGTTTTCCAAGCCGGTTTCCACCGGTTCCCCTGCCTGTACTGAGGCACTTGGCAGTACTGGTGTTGGTGCTTGCCTGCTTTACCCCCTTGGGGTTCAGGATCTCCCCCTGATATGCTGAGGTGGGGCTTTCCACTAGCTTACTGGTAAGCCTCCCGTTTTATACTGCTCCCCCTCCTCCACAGCGAGAGGGGCCTTTCCTGTTAATCCCCCTAGCTTCCTGGGCTACAAGACTGCTGCACCCTGTCTTTCCGCTGGTTCAACTGTTCCTGGGGTGATATCTTCTGGGCTCTCAGAGGTCAGTGACGGAGGGTGAGAGTGACTTGACTTCTGGAAGCGGAACTCCCAAGAATGACTTATTTTTATAAATCAGTTCCCTATGTATCTTAGAAATGAGATCTTTATCACAGAAATTTTTGGTGCAGTTTTCCCATTTGCCTGCTTCTCTTCTATTTTAAACTGCATTGGTTTTGTTTGTGTAAATTCTTTTAATTTTATGTAACCAAAATGGTCCATTTTACCTTCTGTTATTTCATCTGTCTTCTTTTTGGTCATGAGTTCTTTCCCTGTCTATGGATCTAACTGGTAATTTCTTTCACACTCCTAATTTATTTATGTAAGTATACTCTATATTTAAGCCATGTACTTATTTGGAGCTTACCTTGGAATAGTGTGAAATGTTGTTCATTACCTAGTTTCTGCCAGACTGCATCCTAATCTTGCACCAAAGACAGTTTAGTAATAAGTGATTTTAAAGTAATACTGGCACAATGCTTTTTTTTTTAAAAGGCTTCACATAATGGTCACACCCTACTTTTTTGCAAAAAAAAAAAAAGGCATAAAATCTACAATGATTATGAGGTGAAATACGGTATTCTCAAGCCTCGTGCATGTGTGTTTCTTAGATCCCCAGCTAAGGCAAGAAGCAGACTATGTCCTTCATTAATCTCCCCATATTATCTTACAGGATTTTACATACAGCAGGTATTCTCCCTAGTGGTTATATTTTGTAAGCTAAGCACTAAAGTCTTTGAGGGCAGGGAGTGAGTATTATTCAACCTTATATTCCAATAGTGCCTCGCTAACACATAGTGCAACTACAAAATCCAACTAAGAATTATTAATAAATATTTAATGCATATAAGGAATTGAGGACATAAAGACAAGAATAAGTTCCTAACCTCAAGGGGCCTAGGCTTTACCGAGAATGGGAATAAAATATGCAAATATAAGCAAACACAAAGTATATACAAATTAATTTCAAGGGGGAGAGTACACCAATAACTGGGAGTAGGGGAGGGGAGGCGAATCAGGAAAGGCCTCATAGAGGTGGGAGCACCTCAGCTGTTTTGAACAAGCTAGGGATGATGCAAGGTAAGAAAAGAATGCATCACAGACATAGGGAACCACTTGTGCAAAGGGATGTTAGTCAGAGACACAGGGTCACGAACAGGGCAGTTATCAGACAAGTTTTCCTAAAATAGAACAAAAGGAAATAATAGAAAATAAAGGTGGGGGTCAAATTATGTAGGTGTTTAAATGACACTGTTATCTCCAAAACTAAAGGGAGCCATTGAAGATCTTTTGAGTAGGATCAGGAGTTACAGTCATGTGTTTCAGAAGTATCAGTTTGATAATTACGTGGAAGATAGATTGGAGAGATTATCTGCAGGAAGACCAATCAGGAGGCTAGTGAAATAGTTTAGATAGAAGTGATGAAGGCCTAAAGGCTGTGTAGAGAGTGGAGAGAAGTGAAAGATATCTTTGTGGTAAAATCAGTAACTGTTTTTGCCTTGTTTTTGTATCCCTGAGCTCAACACAGTGTCTGGCACATAGTTAAGTATTTAATAAATGCTTGCTGATTGACTGCAAATGGTAGGATATGGGAATTAGGTCAAGGATGATTCTAGAGTTGGGAACCAATCAGTCAACCTATACCTAGAGAATGCAGAACTTGCCTGCCACCGAAGATCAAATGAAGGCAGATGACTAGCTCTTCTTGCGTTTTAGGCTTTAGAAATAATTCAACTCCCCCTCCCTGTGATCCTCCCACTACAGCAGAATTATGTCTAGGGCAGGCTGCACATAAATATCAGTAAGGCAACATACAAATACTATCAAGATTTACTTTTATTGAATGTCATGTTCAGGACTGGCTTTACATATATGTAAGTAGAATAGGCATTTGCTTAGCACAGGGAAGATCTTACCTCCTACCACCCCCCAATCTCTCCCAGCCTTGATACCTAAAATTCCAAAGATTTTAATTCCCAAGATTTTTTCCCTCCTTGAAATATAAATACTTCTCAAAAGTAACTCATTTTTCTTTACCAGTCATTTGCACCCTAAGGTAAATTATTTCTTTCAGTATAGCAGCTAACAGAGAAGAGTTTTTTAAGGGAATAAGATACATGGGTTTCTGGGAGTAGGAGGGAGAGGAATACTTAGGGAAGGCAGACTCCTTCACTACAAGAGAGAAAACACTATGAGAAGACTATTAAGGTGGAAATTCCAAGAAGGTAGATTTCAAACAGCTAAAAGAAAGATTTAATTGTCACTGCAATGCTCTTACTCATACTAAGATTAATCATACCCTTTCATAACACTTCTGCTTCAACAAAGTGACTCCTTTTTCACAAAATATTCAAGACAATCTCATAAAAAGTCAAAATGCTACTCTTCTTAGATCATAGGATTGATAGCTGGAAGGGACCTCAGAGAAATCTTCTAGTCTAGCTACCTCATTTTACAGATAGGGATTTCTGAGGTCAAGAGAGTTAAAGTGAACTGCTCAAGTTCAGTCCATTAAAGCCAGCATTTGAACTTCAGTGCTCAGGATTCAAAAATGGCGTGTTTTTTCTACTATACCAAAATTCCTGTTATCAGGCAGGATATAACAAAGGGCAAATCTTTAAGAGCTAATAACCCAAAACTTAAAACGAGGTTACACAGTTACCATTTCCCTTGAGTAAAATATAATTATAATAGCCATCATAATGGAGTTATAAAAATAGAGGAAATATTTTTTAATAGACACAATTATTGTGTTTATACAAGATACAGAAGGTTTCATGTTTGGTAAAGAATAAAACAATGTAAAATAAGTCTAAGCTATCATGTTTCTAAAAATAATAGAGCCAAAATATTGAGTTATGTTTTATATATTGATTGGAAAGAAAGGACTGAAAGTAACAGGTTTAAATTATGCACTGTACTTAATTTCAATCCTGTTTTCAAATGAATAGGAAGAATATTTCTCTCTTGCCCGCCACCAACCAGCAAAGTCATACTACAATATAATGCAAAAAATCAGATCTACACCCACTGAATCCAAAAATAAAAATTCTTTGCTTATTTTACATCTTTATTCTTGTCTTCCTTTTGTTACTAGTATAGAACTCATACCTTTAAAATAGGCATTCACATAGTACGATTATTATTTTGAAATCTTCAAAGTCAAATGAAAGGTAAATCGATTACAAAGTGTTTTCAGCTGCTGTTAAATATGATATTTTACAAGCCAAATATAACTGTCTTGATGAATTATTTCATTAAAGTCTGCAAAATTCCAGAAATAATCACATCCATGTTTACAGAAATTCTTTTAAATTTGAGAAAAAGCAAATGTTTTTCCTATTCCTAATTATGCCTGTGTTACAAACTTACAATTATTGGCAGCTTTACATGGAAAACACATGAAATTCAATGCACTAACAAAATATGAGATAAAGATGAATTTGAGGTAGAAGTTGAACAATGTAGTCCATAACTTCTCTACAGGACTTATCATTCCCAGTTACCATCTAGTTTATTTGTACATGACAGCTTCAAGTTGCCTAATATTATCTATACAAAATCATATACAAAAACATGACCAAACAGAGGAAACAGGCAAGCTGCTGACATATTAGAATTTAACAGGTTTCACTTGATGCTGCTAACATTAATAGTAGCCATAAGGAGGCCGTTGATTATAACCATATTGTCCGTACTGATGATGGTAGTAAGGTTCTTGTCTGTGCTGTTGATAGTTATTACCCCAGGGTCTTCCATGCCACTGATTAGATCTTCTGTCACTTGGCCAACTCTGCCTGCCATCTCTTCCTCGAAAGTGTCTGTTATCTTGCAACCTATAACAAAAAAGGCACCCACAGTTTAACATTCTTTTATAAAGGCAAAAAAATCATTGTCTTGGATTCAACTGTGTCCTCAGTGAAATCTCCAGTTAAATATTCTAGGACAAATTTTTTCTATAATAGAATGTTAAAACACTACAGCTAATCATAAAATTAGCCCAAAGTTCAAATTATATTTAAAAACACAAAGCAAAACCAACTGTACACAGAATAACAAGACCTGTTTTAATTTTATCCCATGTGCTATCACTAATGAGAACTCATTTATATCATGCTTTAAGATTTACCAAATATTTTCTGCACAATCCTATTAAAAAAGAGAGGTAATACTTTGTTACTTGCCTATGCTAAAACATTAAATGTAATTTTTTAAAATTTTATAATCTGGCCCCCCCAATAAAAACAAAACAAAAAGTCCTCTTTTGAGAAAAACCCAAACCTGATGTATTTTTGGGAAACAAATTATCCCCTACTACATTTGTTTAGAGAGAGAAGATATTTAGTACACACAAAATAGATACTGTAAGTTAAATATATTTGAAAAAATTAAAACAAACAAAATATATGTGTAAGGTCTGAGGGACAAGTCAGTTTAAAACCAATTTTTCCAAACCAAGAGACTAGTCAATTATGTTTTCTTTTTGCAAATAGAAGCTCAAAGTCAAATAACAGACCCAATTGACCCTGATTTTGTTTTTCCAAGATATTTACTGAATTATTGAAGCTACTGATTAAATCATGTTTTCTAGGCTGTATTTTATTTCATCAAATATATACATTATTTTAAAAGAGTACCCACAGAGAAGGGAACACACACAAACAGGGAAGTTTTGCTACTATTATGTTAAATTTAATATACACTTAAAAAAATTACATAATAAAAGTTTACAGTTTCATGTATAGTCTTCCTTTTCTATTCTGTATATACTGAAATGTTTATTTATATCTATTAAGGGATTATTTTTAAAAACATTATGTTAAAAAAGAAAATCATACCGATTGCCTCTGTTTCTTTGATTACCACTTGATCTACTATTCCACTCTTCAACAATCGGAGGGGAATCTACAGGGCGTTTCAAGTATTCTTGATACTCAGTATCATCTTCTGTGAATCGATTGGCAAACATCTCTTCAAAATTTGGAACAGTATCAGGAGCGTCAGTCATTCTGAAATCTTTTATAAAATAAAAGTATTAGTTGGACAACATTACGTTTAAAATGCATATCTTTTAAAAACATCTAAGGGCAGCTAAGTGATTTAGTGGATAGAGCTCAAAACTTGGGAGGCAGGAGGGCCTGAGTTCAAATCCTTCCTCAGATATTTACTACTATGTGACCCAGAGTAAGTCACTTAACCTGTTTATCTCAGGTTCCTCATTTGTAAAATAAGGCTAATGATCATACCTGCCTCACAAGGTTGTTGTGAGGATCAAATGAGTTAACATATGCTCTGTAAACCTTAAAGCACTATATGAATGCCAGCCCTTATTATCAGCAGTGGTAATACTAATTTTCTTTCTAATTAGTGAATAAACCAGGTTGCAAAAAGAGATTTTACACAGTCTTGCTCTCAATGGCTGATCATGCCACAGAGGTGAGCTTGGGTTCTCAAAGACAATGCCAGTGTAATGGCACTTGCCAATGCAAGTCCTAACAAAGTGGAAAGCCTTCAAGTAAGAGCCTGGTAGCAGACTGTCACCTGAAGACTAACACTAGATAAATTAAGGGAGGCTTATCACCAGAAACCAGATCATCATATGATGATTTTTTTTTTTGGCCATAATCTCAAACAAAACAAAACAAAACAAAATAAAACCATGCATACTGTACCAAGGTGCAGAGGGGTTAAGATTTCCTCTGGTGAAGGGAAAACCTACACAGAACTGTGGTCACTTGATCCTTGAAAGATTGAAATAGAGTTTGAAAATATTTGAAAAATCTGTAAAAGGGATTTAAAAAGCAAATATACTTAAGTTAAGCCAACTACATTACACAACTGTACCCTATGTACTCATTTCAGATCTTTTATTTTTTTTTTCTTTCTTCATATTACCAATACTCAGCACAGTTCCTGGCACACAATAGCTTTTTAATAAGGGAAGAGTTATAAAGGAGAATATTACGTGGTCTCTCTCTTCCAGGCTATCTCCTGAAAAGATTGAACTGGGGACCCATCCAAACTCAGTTGCTCAAGGCAACCCCTCCCTCTCACCCCTCCTCAAAAAAGAGCCAATATCCCTTTATCCGTAATATTAATAAATACCTGCTGACCCACTGATTGTGACAAATGAAAACTGGCTCTTATAGAGGAGGATATAAACTGTGCACTAAGGTTTGCAAAACTGAAACCAGCTATAAAAAGATGTAATTTGTTTTTGTGCCTCACTCCCCTCACAGAAGTGGTAGTGGTAGATTACGGGGCAAGGTCTATGTTTTGTTCCTTTGTTTGTTTGTTTTTGCTAGGCAATGGGGTTAAGTGACTTGCCCAGGGTAACACAGCTTGTAAGTGTCAAGTATCTGAGGCTGAATTTGAATTCAGGTCCTCCTGACTCCAGGGCTGGTGCTGTATCCACTGTGCCACCTAGCTGCACCTGAGGTCTATGTTTTGGAATATAGTATATATTACGTCCCTTTCTTTTCTAGTCATTGTTATAAAAGAAGGCTTTATTTGGAAATGAACATGATAGACTCTAGAGAAACAAAAGGCATTAATAAAAAATAAAAAAAAAATTGAAGCTAATAACTCCAGGAAGGCAGGGTTAAAAAAAGAATGCCATTTATAGATTGTTTCCATCATATGTGCAAGCTAAGTAATTAGAATTTATAAATGTAAAAACTGCACTCAAGAACCTCCATTCTTTTAAGGTCAATGTAACAATGTACAAATGTAACAGTGGCTAAATGTGCATTAGTGTCACCTGTCAGGGTTTTGCTACCAGTGTTACATTGCTACTCCCTATCATATAATATAATTTGCCTGCTGGAGATGGTTCATTGAATATGCTACCTCACTCAGACTAGAATGGTAAACTATATATAGAATGATGCCCACTGGGCATTCCAGTGGCAGTACAATATGCCATGTAAAGTATCCAAGTCTCAATATCAAATTTTTCATCTTTCTCCAACTCATCCATCTGTAGTGATGGCTGTCTCAAAAGTCAATCTTAAGTGGTCTAGGCAATACAATGTTAGTTACTTAAGCCAGGAAAGAGATAGTAGAAAATATAGATTTGTTATATCAACCAAAGGCTACTGTGTCAGATATCTTTATATAGATAGGATCAACAAATATTTACTAAAAATGTATAATACATGATCCCTGTCCTCAAGGAAGCTCAAATTATTTTTTATTCTTTACAGTTCTAAACTTACATTAAAATAAATCCTCTGGGACTATCATAACGTACTTAAAAGAAAAAAAATGTACCAGTTGTAGAGGAAACAATTTTGGGACTGAGATACTTCAATTTTCATTTAAATTACTTTCTTTTATATTAACACAGCAAGTTCATGACCACATGAGAAATCAAACCCACAAATCCTAATTCAAGTACAAAATATCCATCATTTCTAAACTATATTTTAATTTTCAAGAGTTAACTTCAAAAATAAGCATTAGAAAGAAACCTGAGCCACTCAGCATTCTTTTCTGCTTAGAATTCTTGAAGACTAGTAAAAGTTGATTATGCTAAAATTCTAAGTCTAAGTACTACAGTCACTGAAATTTATATACAATGAAATCACACCTGACAGTAGCCTGGCTCTAGAAGGTAAACCTGATTTAATTTTTTAAGGACAAAGGAGGTTAGAGATTGCCTTCAAGTCTGGAGGGAAGGGGCGGGGAGAAAAGAGGGGATTATGTGGGGGAATTGTATGAGATCTCTTCCTTTCATACTGCCTCCTCTGATGACATGGAGATTTACTCAGATTCATAGACTTAAAGTTTATTCCCTCACACAGCAAGGACTGTGTTCCTTTATCAGTAGCATCAATTCAACAAAATAATTACTGAGTTAATAATAAGTATAAGGTAAAATGAGGAATACAAAGACTAGGTCCTAGCCCTCAAGATACTTAACGTTCTAACAAGGTGAGATCTGCTCTGCCAGAGTACAAGTACTCTAGTAGGCACCTTTCTTTAATCTCTCCTGCTTAAGAAGAGATGATCTTCACCACCACCCCACCAAGCCCTTGCACTTCTACTCCAAGATTTCCACGGCCACTTTGGTCTGTTCTGGCACATTACCATATTATTTAATATGCTTGTATAATGTATCTGACATCCTGGAACACCCTTGCATATCCCCTATGTTATTTTCTATCTGTGATAACGAAGGTTGTACCAAAGAAGTATGCTACTGGAATACATTCTTTTCATTACTATTGTATTTTCTCTTCAGGAGCGCTCAAAACATTTTCACATATTTATTCATATGGTCATTCAAAAGCACAGCAGCATACATCCTAACACTAAAATGGAGGCTCCCATCTAACATAGTTATCAATATTATTGTCATTCTAAAGGCACCAAAACATAAACAGGTAACTTTACCAAGTCCACAGGGCAATACAAAAAATAAAACTCAAGTTTCCTGGTACTCTGATACTTTCAAATCATTGCTCTATCATATACCACCTTCTAAACACAAAAATTCTCTCCATGAAGACTTTTGTTTATAGATTTGAAAGTTTGCCAGAATGTTAACCTGATGCCAGAACCACTATCTTCAGATTACTTAACTTCAAATTATTTAAATCCTCCATCTCCAAATTAGATTAAATTCAAATGATTAAAAATACAAACCCTTACGACAAGCCTACAAAAAAGGTCCTTCAAGTGACCCAATTTCACCCACCATCCAAAGTACTACAACCATCATAGCTTATTAAGGATATACTCAGTATTTAAACTTTTCTAGGAAAATCAGTACATATCATCTTTACCATTAGTTCATTTGCTCTACATTTACTAGGGATGTGTAATGTGTTGTGCTAGATAGGTCTAGATGAATAAATCACATTTCCAGTCCAAATGACTTAAAAACAAAAACAATTTTACCTACCTCGGTGACTTAGGGCTGCTATACAGTTTAGTTGCCTTTTTTGGTGAAGAAACCTAAGCCCTGTATAAGATACATGAAACAATAAACATGAGGAAAGCGCGTGGATCCGTATCAGCTTACACACTACATTTCATTAAAGCCAAGAGTCTCACTAGAGGGCCAAGGGTGCAGTATGTTGGTTCAGTGTAAAGAACGCTACTTACTGGGAGTCTGGGCCCCCAGCTTGCAGTAAGTTTTTCAGATTATTTTTCCGCTGGAATGCACTGGAAGGGTCGGTGAGAGGCGCCCGTCCCCCAAGCTCGCCCTCCAACGGGCCAGGACCCCGGCACCTCCGCAGGGAGCCCTGTTCACACCGGCCACCCGCTGCCCGGCGCGGCCCCGCAGCCCAGGCCAACCCGCGAGCTACGCAGGACCGGCCGTCCCTCCCCCCCTCCCCTACGCCCGCCGCCGCGCACCTCCCCTCCTCACCGTCTCGGTCCTCCGGCTACCAACCTCAGGAGCCACTTCCGGTGCTCGTCCGGGCAACAAGATTACTTCCGGCTGAGCGAGCGATGAACGATGAACGTGCTTCCGCTTCCGCTCTCCATAAGAGGCAGCATTTGTCCTGTGTGGGACGCTTGTATTCCCTCCAGTTGGAACGAAGAGAGTAAAGGGAAAGAGCCCAATGAGTGGTGCTGATGGCACGGGAACGTGGCTTTTAGGAGAGAAAAAGCATCATTTGATAGATTAGAGTGTAAACTTCTTGAGGGCAGGGACTTAAGCCTTTTTTAGGCCCAGCAGGAGGGTGGAACTCTTTGTGCCTATCCAGGGGTGGGGAACCTGTGGCCTCGAGCCACATGTGGCCCTCTATGTCATCAGGTTCGGTTCTTTGACCAAATTCAAACTTAGCAGAACAAATCCCCTTAATAAAAATAAATATATATAAAATTCCCCTTAATGAAAGAAGTTGTTCTGTGAAACTTGGACTGGGGTGGGGGGGGGGGGGAAGCTAGGTGGCGAAGTGGATAGAGCACTGGCCCTGAAGTCAAGAGGACCTGAGTTCAAATCCGGCCTCAGACACATAACACTTACTAGCTGTGTGACCCTGGGCAAGTCACTTAACCCCATTGCCTAGCCAAAAAAAAACAAAAAAAACTTGGACTCAGTCAAAAGGCTGCACCCAACGACCTAGAAGGCCCACAGGTTCTCCTATCTTCATCTATTAGGCTTTCTGTTTCTACTGCCACCTTTTACTGTGTCCAGCACTCTGTCCTTTGCCTCTTTTTGTAACCCCAGTGCCTGACATGTAATAGGCGCTTAATAAATGTTTACTGAAGTAAATTGAATTAAAATCCTTTTCCTCTCTGAAATGCTATTATTCTAGAATTTAAGCTGACTCTTCAAGGCTAAGTGAGATGGATTTATTGAAATACCCCTCCCCTCAACTTGTAACCTGTTTCTATTTAGCTTCCTTCCTGGATCCTTTTTCTTCTACATAAGGAAAGACTTAAAGGGAAAGAAGGGGGTGTGTCTGTGGGGGACATCCCACATTCCTGGGCATTTGTGTTGATGGGCTGGGATAGAAGTTATGGGCCAGTTATGGGCCCCCACTCTTAGGGCTTTTTTACTTTCAGCTGGAAAGTTGAACTCTTTGTGCCTATTTTCCATTTCTTAGGCTTTTTGTTTCAACTGCCATGCTTTCCCATTTCCAGCACCCTATCTACTATCATGTATGTGGTAACTGTTTAATATATTTTAACTTAATATCCTTTCCAAAAGTCTCCCCATGTAGTGCCAGCAGCACTGGCACTTGTCTACAGAAAACCTGTCTAGGCACTGTTGAGGTTTAGGGGTGTTGGGACCCCTAAATTCAAGGGCAAGAGATGCAGGTCCTGCCGTGAATCAACTCTCAAGCCTTCTTTCAACCAAAGGCAAGGTTTATTAGAACACCAATAGAGGTGAGCAAGATTCCTAGTGAGTCTACACTATTGGCCATATTTTAATAATCTGAACCCCTTTAATGACAACACAACTGGGCCAGACTCTTAAGGAATCCAAGCTATTTAATTGGGGCAAGATGGACACTTATATACAGTGGTCAAGGAGTGGCCAATAGCTTGGGTGACTGGGAGGTAACAGAGAAGGACCTGGAAGGGCCAGGTGCCTCAGGTGAACTCCAGGGATCTGGGCCATGAGGGAAAGTCCAGAGCCTTTTAGGGGATACATCATTAATGCCTTATCAATACCATATTACTCCAGTATCCTAAGTAGTTCCCTCAGGGAAAAGGGCTAAAATCTCACTTAGGAAAGTTGCTCCTACTCAGAAATTACATACTTCTGTTCATGAGGAATGCTGTTAGATTGCACTATTTTGCTGTATTTACTGTTAGATTGGTTGCTAGGCACAAGGTAGCCCTTAGATATAAAAGAAGGTGCTGTCAGGGTTAGTTAATAACACATACTGTGAGACATCAAATGAATGAATTAAGAAGTCAAGAGGTAAAGAATAAGGTAGTTATTTATTAGGGCAGTGAGTGCAAGGAAAATTAGAATCTGTCTAGGTTGTACTTTTTGAAAACTACCACTATATATGTGTGTATATGTGCATGTATACATACATACACATATACATACACACGTATACATACATATCAGTATATGAATGTTAGCTACTTAAGGGGGAAGTAAAATCTAAAAATTTTTAGAAGTTATAGAGTACCCAGCATTTATTAATGCCTTAAATAGAATTAATTAATAAGCATTAATTAAAGTACTTATTATGTGCCAGGCACTGGAATTTTTTTTCTCTAAGTCAACTGCATTGATTTTGTTTTTGCAAAAACTTTTTAATTTGTGTTATTAAAATTGTCCACTTTATTTTCTTTGATCCTCTCTCCCTTGTTTGGTCTTAGATTCTTCCCCACCCAACTTCACAAGGTATTTTCCTCCCTTCACTGCAACACCTAGCTGGACCCTACTGGGCCATGGTCAGTCATCTTGACCTTTGTTTTGCCACTGGACTCAGATGATTCTGAGGAAAAATCGAAGCTGATGACTTTGTGCAGCTCTGCCTCATTCACATCCAATTCATACTCGAGTCAAGACATCATGCTCTTGATGGCATTAGTCCTCTTCGAGAATGAAGTATGAACAACGAACAAGGGTTCTGCATGAGATCTCTATACTGAGAGAAGGACTTCCAGAGCAGCTGATGTGAGTTAAACTTTGTGACATATATTTCTTACACGTGTGCCTCACTACTATTATGGTATAAGCTTCCTCCTCCCATGCGTGCTGTGTGTATTTGTGGGAAGGAGTGAATCAGTTGCTTAGTGGAAGGTTTTGTATTAACTGTCTCTCAGTTCAAGTACAAGTTTGGGAAGTCTTCATCTTCTTCATCTTCTCCTCCTCCTCCTTCTCCTCCTCCTTCTTCTTCCTCTTTCTTCTCCTCTTCTTTCCTACAGTTTTCATTTTTTGATTTCTTGAAATATAGAGCAGAAAAGCAGGCTTTCAAAAAGCCCGTTGTATTTTCAATGGAACTACTTGACTAGCCTTTAAACCCAAATCATTCTGACTTTCATTGAATGGCTAATAATAGGTCCAGCCCAAGCCTTTATGGCTCTTGGTTTAGGTTTGGGTGGCTTAGAATTAGTGTAAATAGCAATTGTATTTTGTTCTGGCCAAAAACTCTAAGGGTCTTTCCCTCCCAAATGGATATTTTTGGGGATGGTAAATCAGACCATCTTTTGTCTCAATTTCTACCAGCCCTTAGTCATTGAATGGGCTTTGTCTCAGACAAACTGATTCCTGGGAAAGACCTTAATTTAGAAAGGGCAAGGTTACCCACTACATCCTGGCCCATGGTCAGTCATTTTGACCTTTGTCTTGCCACTAGATTCTGATGACTCTGGAGGAGAGTGGGAGGCTGATGACTTTGCACAACTCTGCCTCACTCAAATCCAATTCTTGTACAAGTCAAGACATCATGCTCATGATGTCATTGGTCCTCTTCAAGAGTGAAGGATGAACAAGAAGAAGTCATGAATTCATTTGGAATTTATCTTGATATATCATGCAGGATGCTGGTCTCTTTCATTCCCTTTTAAACCCTCTGCAATCCACTTCCAACCTCACTATTCAACTGAAATTATTTTCTCCAAACTTTTTATTGTTCATTGATAAATCTAACGGGCTCTTTTCTCTCCTCATCTTTCTTAACCTCTTTCTCTCTGTAGTATTTGGTATTTGGTATTTGATACTGTTGACTATCTTCTGCTTTTGGGTAGTATATTTTCTCTGGGTTTTCAACCTGTCTGACCACTGTCATACACCTAGCTGTTGCTATCTCCCAGGGCTCTGTTCTGGGCCCACTTTCTCCTTATACTCCCTCACCTGATGAACTCATTAGCTCTCATGGGTTTAATTATCTCCTTGAAGATAATTCCTAGATCTATATATCTAGCCTTTAGTCACTTTCCTGAGCTTCATCACTCAGGAGCTCAGCACTAACCCAGGTCTCCCACTACATCCGGGGTCATCTCCAGTCATCCTGATCTATACCTTGCCACTGGACCCTGATGACTCCAGAGGAGAGAGTGAGGCTGGTGTCTTTGCACAGCTTGACTCACTTAAATCCAATTCCCTTGCATGTTATGGCATCACCTTTTTGATGTCATGGTCCTCTTCAAGAACAAACAGCAACAACTAACTGCCTGCTAGACATTTCAGAAGGTATCTCAAATTCAACATTTGCAAAACAGAATCTTTTCCCCAAAACCCTCCCCTCTTCTGAACTACCCTCCTACAACGTCTCCTTCCAATCTCCTTCCATCATCCTGGCCTTCCAATTATTCTTCCTGCCTTATCCCTCCCCACTCTGATCCACCCTTTACTCAGAGGCCAAAGTGATTTTCCAAAAGCATAAGTCTGACCATAGTTACTCCCCCTACCCCAAGCAATAGATTTCAGTGGCTCCCTTTTACCTCTAGGATTAAATAGAAAGTCCTTTCCATATTTAAAACTCTTCACAACATGACTCCTTCCTGCTTTCCTCTTCTTACATTCTCCTTCTTTCCCATCACTCTACCATCCAGCCAAATTGGCCTCCTTGCTTTCCCTTACGTGTGATGCTATATTTCCAGTCTCTGCCTTGTACTTATTCTTCCTGCCTGAGCTTGAAATGCTTTCGGTCCCAACTTCTGACTCTTAGAATCCCTGGCTTCCTTTAAGACTCAGTTTAAGTTCCACCTCTTGCAGGAGGCATCTAAGGTGACCAGAGTAAGGGACTTGGATTTGGGAAGATCTGAGTTCAGATCATAACTCAAACACTTACTATCTATTTCTGGGCAAGTCATTTAACCTGTC